CCCCAAAACCCCAAAACCCCAAAACCCCAAAACCCCTTTGGGAAAGCATGGTGTTGAAATTAAATTTTGGATACATTTTGAGAAAAATTTTCAATTTTGAATTTCTTAGCCCTCTTTTTGCTCTAAAGTTTAAAATATTAGAATTTACCTGTTGGTTTGTTTCTCAATCTTTCTTCAACTTCATGAGAGATCTTCTCAAAATCTGCAGTATAAATAATTATGAGAAAGGAAACTGCTGCAAAAATGACTCCTGTTGATGATCCGATAGATATTCCCTCTATCCCATATTCATAAGTGAATCCTAGAAGGATGGTGATTGGTGTCTGGATAAACCAATAAGCTATGATTCATATAACAGTACCATATTTCTGATACCCCATAGCTTTAATATTCCCTTGTGCAATTCCCTGGAAATAGTCCCCGACACAGAGGCCTAAGAGTAATGCTAATATTTTTGCTGTTTTGTTCCTTAGATCTTCTTCTTTCATCAAAACTCCCGAAATTTGGAATCTAAATAGCAAAACTACTCCTCAAAGGAGAAATCAAAGTAGAACAGAGTTATAGACGGATATATTGGCAAATACTTTCGCTGTTTTGGGCTTTCCAGCTCCAAGGCTATTACCAACTCATGCATTTGTTCCCATTTGGAATCCAAGAGCAGCCATATATAGAAAGATAATCACGTTCATTGCAGTAACGAATGCTGCGAGGTCTTCCTCCCCACAAAGGCCAGCCATAATGCCCAAAATCTCGAATGACCAGAGCTCTCAGGCAAGCATAATAAATGTAGGGATTCCGTACCTCAGATATTCTCCTAATTCTTGAAAAGATTGCTTTGAAATAGGTTGCCAGCTCCCCTCTTTTACTGAAGACTTGTTAAACCTGATCCATACAATAGGAACTACAAAATTCAGAATGTAAGTCAGGCAAGATGCAAGAGCAATTCCTTGGAAAGATAGGTCAAATACGTATACAAATAAGAAGATCCACAATGAATGAAAAGCTGAGTTTACCAACTGGGAATTCATTACTATGTGAAACACTCCTTGAGTCCCTAAGAACCTTCTTAAGCACTCTGTTTGAGCATGGCACCAGATACCTACAATGCATGTAGTAAGATATTGGCCTGCAAACTGAGCAGATCTGACTGGCTGTCCGACTGCTAGTAAAATATCGGAAGCATAAAGTAACAAGATTGCTTGTGGAATAAATAATATTGTCAACATCACTTGAGCTTTACAGTAGTATTGTCCAGCAATGTAGTTATTCCCACTACCAAATGCATGAGCCGAAAGTGTTTCGAGCCCACCAGCAAGCCCGTTCCCAATACTAAGTATTAAAACGCTGTTTGTTAATAAAGAAAGGCCGATTGCTGACACGAATGCTGGGTCACCTAAATGCCCTGCTACAATATAGTTGATCATATCTGGAACTCTTCTGATCATCATGCCAATAGCTGAAGGCAAAGCTAATTTCACATATATCTTCACTGCTTGTTTGTAAGTTATCTCATCTTTACCATCCAATGGGATGTATTCTTGCGCCTCAGAGTTGATCCATGACTGGCCTATAAAGTTAGAGAATGTGCTTACCCAGAGATTTCATGCCTTGGCTGCTGTGATCTGCAAGCTCAATTCCTTCTTGTTCCATCTTTTATAAACGATGGGATTTCAAAATTAATATTCTCACTTGGGGTTTTGGGGTTTTGGGGTTTTGGGGTTTTGGGGTTTTGGGG